AATGTCTCAGGATACAAAAAAAAAGAGAGAAAGAAAAGAAAACACTGGGGAAAAAGTGGTACATGCCACTAAGAAGGTCATGAAGCTAAGAGCTCAGAAGTATTTCTCAGGGTTTTTTGGTTCTTGCCAATCAATCTATCCACATTCTTTTCTGTAACACTGAGGCAGACAGACATGCTGAACAGTACCTTCTTGAGTTCCTATCACCACTGGACCCCCAAGGAGAGAGAAAGAAAAGAAAACACTGGGGAAAAAGTGGTACATGCCACTAAGAAGGTCATGAAGCTAAGAGCTCAGAAGTATTTCTCAGGGTTTTTTGGTTCTTGCCAATCAATCTATCCACATTCTTTTCTGTAACACTGAGGCAGACAGACATGCTGAACAGTACCTTCTTGAGTTCCTATCACCACTGGACCCCCAAGGCAGAGGTGTCTTGGCTTTTACAGTTGCAGAGAAAGGCACTGTAGCCATCATTTCCCTCCCACATGCACCAGCCAACGTCCCTCACCATTCCTTCCATTCCATGTGGCAGGAGCAGGACAATCCCGTTGTGACGAACCCATTTGGCCTGGCCAGAGCTGATGAACTGGTCTATTATACACTGTGCTGTGTTGTGGAAATCACCAAACTGGGCTTCCCAGCATACGAGGGCGTTCGGACTGGCCATAGCAAAGCCAAGTTCAAAACCTGAGAACCAAATGAGTAGGAGAATTAGAAAATAAACAGATTTGCTGAGAATTATATTCATTTCTCATAAAAGGTAAAACAAACTAGATTTGCTGAGAATTCTGTTCATTTCTCATAAAAGGTAAAACAAACCCAAAACAAGAGCATGAACTGGATTTTTGTAGCCATGCTATAAATCATGCAGTTTTCAATAGTACCATTTCCATCAGAAAGATTAGCAAACAATATTTTTTCAAGCCTGACTCCAATTCTTTAAACTTTTCCTCAAATATTCCAGTATTATAGTCTTTATAATTAACAACTAAGCCACTCCCTCAGCTCAGACTTTTGGGTGATGTTTTCCTGAGAGCTCACTACTGTCTTTTCCTGTAAAAATCCACTTAGAACCCCTTACTAGTTCAAGAAGCTACTTGTTAATTTTAATACTTGCCCAGCCCTGCACAATACTGTCTTTTTTCCCCCCCTCTCTCATACGCAGGTGCTGAACAAAATTATTGGTGACATCAATTTTCAGTCCACAGGTAGGAAGGATCATAGTCTTCAGATCTTCAAAAAAGCTTGAACATATTAGGTGCATGGGAGATAGATCTGTGATTTTGATAAACAATCTTTCTTTGGCAAAGTTAAGGACCCTTTTGCTCTCTACCCCCAAGGCAGAGGGGAGACCAGAAGTGCTCTTCATGGAGACAACATCATTCATCCAGCACTGAAAATAGAAAGATGCAACCTTCCCCCTCTCCACTCTGAGTCTGTGGTCTCAGCAGCAGGTAAGTGCAGAAATTTCCCTAAACTTGTGCCATTTGAACTGTAAATTCATTAACTGCTGCAGTACAATAAAGCCCCAGCTCTACAACAGGACCTGAGGAGATGATTTGCAATGAGAAAAGAAACCTGAACTGCTACTGCAATGTAAGCTAGGTAATTGATTCCTAGTAGCTCTGCAAAGGCAAAATACAGAAGACTACAAAGGTGTTTGCATGTGCTACATGGCCTATGGTGTGTAGCTTAAACAAAACCAAAACCCAGCTATGCATAGAAGACTACAAGGGTGTTTGCATGTGTTACATGGCCTATGGTGTGTTGCTTAAACAAAACCAAAACCCAGCTATGTGCAGAAGAACTGTCTCAGTTTTATGACCACACTTACAGTTATGGTATTTTGCTATACCATGTTCCATAGTTAAGGCCTAAACATATCTAATAATATAAATATTTGACCTCCGTTCATATTTTCCTTTGACACTTCAAAATAGGGGAGTGCTGAGAGAATACCTGTACTCAGATTCTACACCTATAGTTTGGAATGATTAAAACCAAAAAGGTTAAAACTCTGAGTAAAAACGATTACTATATAGCACTGCTCTGGACACAGAGGTTCTGACTAAGGGAAAACTGATTCAATATGCATAGAGAATAAATATTTGATTGATTTATACATTCTATGTTGAAGCTCTGCATAGAATATAAAGATCAGCTCTCACATACAGAACTGCAACATGGGAAGACTCTCATTGAAGGTTACTAGAGAAGAGCAACTAGTTTTGTTGTTGTAAAAATTTATTTAAAAGCTACAATAATGAGTTGTAATGCTTTCCTGAATGATTGCACGATTGTATAAAAACCTCAGAGGGAGCTAACAGACTAATACAGATTATCTCTTTACAGCTTTTTATTTTAAGATCTGCACATGTAACTGAGGTTGCAGAGTCCCATTCCACCACCCTTGATCTGCACTGAACTCAGTCTCAAGTTTTTGCTATGTACAAGTCACTGTAATGCCCAGTTTTTGCCTGTTTTCCTTATTGTGACATGCTAGCCATTCAAATGCTGTTCTACAATATAGGCTTGATAGCAAAACCAGGTTAGGAAATCTGGTCACTGGCAAATAGTCTCTGGTAAGAAATTATCTGTACTGTTTAATTTGTCCCACTGGTCCCTGGCCTGCCCCCACCTCCAAACACAAGAGTAGCATACAGTTAGTTCATTAAGACAGAATTGAACCCAAAACTGGGATTTGGAATGCAGAGAGAAATCCTTTCATAGCTGGGAGAAAGTAGACCTGAATTTGGGTTTCTCTTCCTTTTTTACTTGCAGACATTCTCAGGAGTACAGGACAAAAATAGCAATCTGTAAACTTTATGTTGTGGATAATATTTCCTAGACCCAAAGGTGGCTATGAGCCCAAATGCAATCCTAAGTCAGGTTCCTAATATGCCTCCTAAATACTATGTATCAGTAAAATCCAATACTGCTTTGTGACCACCAGTATTTAGTGGTAATTGTCATTGTAACTATAGTTTTTGACTCTGATCAAACCTACTATACAGCTCTGCAAATTAGAAAAGTTTCATGAACTTCAAAAAAATTCTTTCAGGCTTCCTGAAAGAGACAAGCTTAGTATCTTGACATTCTCCACACACAGATGGCTACTGCTAATGATCACCATCAAGTGATAGGTGGCATCTCTCATACAGTCATCATTTGTGATTTATACCCAGGTGACTGGAGGCTGCAGTCCCCCCTCTAGGAGAGCCTCCCTCTGTGGAGTTCACTGGATGAGAGAATTATTTCAAAGGGAACTATAATACAAAAAAAAAGTATATAAGCGATACTAGAAAAATACCTAAAATACCTTTTAGGTGGCCTGTCATTCTAAGCATTAAGAAAAGACAAAACTATATTATGAGATAGAACATCTGGCCCATACAGCATATAAATTGCTTTAATGTTATCAGTGCAAGGTAATTGACTTAGCTAGGGAGGAAGATCACAGGATCAAGTCAAACCTATTCAAAACTGTTTCAGTTTTGTTCAACTTTCACTTTTATATTCATTATTGGAGAGACACTCAGAGTGCTAAGCTAAGATGGAGGTTTTTATGTGCTGAATGCCACAAGCATACACAAGTAGTTCCATCCATGAAAGCTTTATTGTCAAACTGTAGGGTAAAAAAAAAGTGAAGAGAGTGAAGGACAAGCATTTCCAACTCATGAAATTGGGAACTAATCGAGAACTAATGTGATTACAGAAAGTTTAACTTGTCCAGTTCCACAAGGAAAACCCTCAAAAAAACCCCAATGAGACTAGTAATTTATCAAATAAGTCCCTCTGTAACACAAACTACAAGTACATCCTTCCAACACTTGACATAGGTCATCTATGCATAAAACTGAAACCACTTTAGGTTAACTCGATGAGTACAGCTAAATTGGGACTACTACAGGATTTCATTCTGCTCCAGGAAGAAGCTATTCAGTCAGTGTCAGTATACAGACTTTCCTGGAACATTAATAGAAGGACAAATTAACTTCATGAGAGAAAAAAGCAGCAAGAGCTTCAACTGTTTATTCACAGAGAAAAGTTTTATGGATTGTTTTTATAGTGTGTCTTCATAGTCTACTCCTTCACAATTCCAACCCAGACTTTTGTTTATCATCTCCATGGCACGAAATCTCTGAGTCACTTGTCTTTGGGACTGCTGAACTCTGAACAGTCCATCCATGACTCCAGCAGATGCTCATGATTCCACCAAAAGGCAACCAGTAAGAGGCCAAAAGGAGACTGGTAGGTCAGACATCTGTGAGTCACCATGCCAGGTCATTCCCAAAGAGGATGGCTTTTTCTGACCATGCCTTTTGCCTGACTGCCTGAATGGCCTTGCCTTCAGAACATAATTTTAATCTCTGGCCTCCTCATTTCTGTAATTCTATTGTTTTTAACACAATGCAAACAGTGGAAAAAATTACACAACTCCAGTGCATGCTCCCAAAGGTCTCTGAAACATAGATTTCCCTAGGTAGGCTTGAGTCCCATTCTAATTTTACACAAGCATTAAGAGACCATTTCTACTGATTGGGTGACATGGTTGAGAAAATATGCAATATGTTCAAGACTTACTTGTGCATATGCTGCTCCCTGTAAGGATGGGATAATCTAGCTTTTAGAGAAGAATTAACTCAGGTCTTGATCAATCAGAGTTGTCAGTAATCACACAGTGCTTGTCAAAGAGTACGGACCTCGGTGTGTACTTAAAATTTGGTCATAGCTAACATACAATTCTATTTCATATACCAAAATTCACCCCTAAAATTCACACGGAAAAAAAAGAGTATAATTTCTCATTTCCTACTGTGTTGTGGAAAAAAAAAGTGTATAATTTCTCATTTCCTACTGTGTTGCCAACTTTGTACTAATCTCCACAAGGTGACAATGTTCTAGGTGAAGCCACATCAAAAGCTGTGATCCTAACATGGATACCATTTGCAAGCTTTCTGAGCCATAAAAATATCTGGGGAAATATACCCAATTGTAATCTATACACTCTGATTAATGTTTTGAAATTAGTGTTGCCAGGACTACTACTTCATGGCACATGTGTCTGTAGTATAAACAACTTTGGTATACCAGAACTCAGTTTTCCACCAGGCAAATGACTCAGAGTTCCTAACATTAAAACTACTCCAATAGCAATTATAGCAGTGGAATAGTTTTATAATTCTTGAGAGACTAGGGATTCTGTCAAGAATTACTCCTCCTACATGTATGTAGAGAAAAATCACTTAAAGAGCAAGATCTGAACTGTCAAATGAAAAAAAAAATTACTAGCAGAAAGACATCTAGATACATGCAAGGTGAACAACCCAGGAGAGGATGACATGCTTCTCCTCAAAGGGAATCTTTAAGGGTGCCAGAGTCAAGGTCAAGGAAGGTGACCTGAGCTAGAAAGTCTCCACCATTCTAGAGATGGGAGAGAAACTGCAGGGAAGCAGGTTCTTACCTAGATCCCTCATGAGGGCTCGACTTCAGACCAGAAAAAAATTTCAAAACCTGCAGCAGGACCTTGCAAACGTTTTCGCTTGTGTCTGCAGAAACAAGGACTGAACATTTCTTCAGAATGATGTGCAAGTTTTCTGATTTTAAAGGATTAAGTCTTACACAGTTAGAAACACACAGAACAGATTTAAGCTGTGAGGAAATACAGTGTCACGGGAACCAGGCAGCAAGACACAGCTTTCAAAGAATGACAGGTAAGGAATCTGCACACCCAAAGGGTGACAGAGA